AAGAAGACAGTTGAAATGTAAACAGTAAAACAATTTGCCAATCCACATGAGAAAAAAAAAACATAAATAAAATAACTAGATAAAATAGATAAAAGACCATGACAAATACAACTGTTACATTTAAAGACATTTTAAACCATCAATACCATACAATAAATCATTCTAATCAAAAGCCATGGTAACTGGTAGTTCTCAAGTTTGTGCTTCAAGATATCAACACTTGCAGACTGTTGTGAAGGCTCAGAGCAGAAAAACTAAAAGTGAAAGTAGGTGCTATGCTGGATATGAAGATGATGAAACTTTTGAGCTACTTATTTATATGTATAGACTGCTTGCATAATACAGTCTCATTTTTGTCATCCAAATGAAGAGGCTTCTAATTTTATTTTGGTGGCAGTATGTGGAGCTGAAAGTGGACATTAGGTTATGGAGACATTGCGAGCATCCTGCTTATATTGTCCTCCAAAAGACAAAACTACTTGTACATTTTCAGTATTTTGGGTGATCTAATCAAGCCTTCCTAGCTTTTTGGCTTCAAGCCAAATCATAAATCATTCCAGTCTCAAGTGGATTTAGTCTTATGGTAGACAAGTCCAAGTCTCAAGTCCTCATTTTAGAAATTGAGCCCGAAGTCTCAAGTCCACAGGTCTGGAACAAGTAGGTACTCAAGATATGGTAAGGAACGCAAATATTATATGTACTAATCTAATGTAATGTAATATAATATGTACAAACATTTATATTACACTCACCATAATGCAGTTGTAATAATGCAACTTCTTTCTCTTAGCTGGACTGTAAACGGCATCTTTAAGTCTCTAACAATGCAAACTTTTAATTACTGCAATAATAAGACTGATATTATTTGTTTCTCACTTACTGCTGTGATGACTGGCTGTGAAGGAGGTTTTATAATGCTGCTTGCAGTGAGGAACAACAAGGTTTCCATGCTTCTGCAGATGAGCAGTGGGGGATGGGCTGTTATTAATGACAATGAGGACCTCTCCACCTGTAAGGTCAGTGACCTCTAGGTGAATGCCACAGCCTGGCTTCTATCTCCATCTCATCTTTGGGTGAACAGCCCCCCACTCTTTGGTCAGGATTCAATTACTGCTGCCTGGCTGACCCTTGACCTGCTCTCCAACAGGATGAACCTCATCTGCTGACCCTGACAGTGGCACCACTGTTAACCTTTCCCGTCACTCGCTCTTCTGCCCCTCTCACTGCTATCCTGCCGCCAAAATGAGACCTTGTCACTGAGAGTAAAAGTCCACACAACTTTGCTCCATGAATGAATTTAATACCAAATAATATGCTTTTTTAAAAGTTATTTTAAAATCCCTTATAATACTTTTTGTGAACAAAGACAAAATTGCTGAGATAGCTGAGACAGATTTTCTCCTTCTGACAAATTTACTTCTACTGCTGTGTTTTATAGTTCCTATTTTTACAGATCGATCTTTCAACCTCGCTCTAAGCTGCAGTCGATGGTTGTTAAGCCATCACCGTCTCTTAATCACAACACAGATACCTGTTAATTACCAAACGAGTTCAAGTGTTTTTGCTACTTAAACAGGGATTTGGGATCGATGCATTGCTTTGCTCTGGGTCGAGCGGTGAGCACAGTTGACCATTTAATGAAATGTTGTGGGTTCCGTGCACAGAGGCTGAAGAAGATGAAGAGCAGAGAGGATAAAGCAATGGGTATATTAATAGGCAGCTGCTCGGATGACACAGTTTGGTATTGGGTCAGGGATAAAGCATGAACTTGTAAACTCACAGAGGGGCCTCTCCTTCCTCCCTCCCTCCCTCCCTCTAACTCACTCTCGCCCTTCGTGGTGTCATCAGTTAGCAGAGCTGGGCTCGATAGCCCGGGCAGCTCTATGAGAGCAGCGATTAGCCATCTCTCTGATTCTCATCCCCAGCAGAGTTCACTCAAAGGTAATACAGTAGTTTACATCCTCAGAGACAATGGTTTTTCTCTGCCTTTGTTCTTTACCGTCTTCTGTTTTGCAAATACTGTATCTTTTCGATGCTATTGGCATGGAGTGGGAGTTTGATGTCATCTATTAAAAATATGACAATATAAAAATGTATTTCTACAAAATGCACCTGAAGCTCCATAATAATATACAACCAATTTATAACTATGAAGAGCTATAGAGTTCATGTACTCCCTCGTCAAGCTCTATAGGTGAAGACAGCACCTCCCCATCGTTTCTGCCACTGACCAGTAGCAATGACAGAGATGCCCAGTCGACTGCAGGGTTTATCCCAGCCGCCTGGTGTCTGAGGTGTGGTCTCACTGGGCCGTTTTGCTGTGATCACAGCAGGCAGTGGGAGGTTAATCCCAAGAGAATGCAGGCTCAATCTTCCCCCGCCTCCAGCCTGCACCCAGGGCCCTCACATCCCCTGCTGTATAATGGCCCGATGGAGCTCTGTGGTCTGTGGCCGACACCTACCCACCTACCCTCACTCCTGGTCTGAGCTGCTCTTAGATTATTATGACATTTTAAAAGTTCTGTAGTTATTATGAAGCATAACAGAGTGGGTAGCCGACCTCTTCCCTTTTTACAACAGTCAAAATTAAATATATGAATGAGACTGAACGTAGAAGCATTTGAATTATTTGCAGTTTTTGCTAATAGCTTTGTGTAGCCTCCAAAATATAGAAAATGAACTGTCATCAGTGATAGATTTGACTAGTTGCAGTTTAAAAGTGAATTTTAAATTGTCATCAAGGTCAAGTTTCTTATTAGTATTCATTTAAAAAAAAAAAAAAAACTAACAAGGAGCGCCAACATATTTTTGAAAAATATGTGCTTTCCGGTGTACAGCGATGAGAATTAGCTCTGTTAAAACATGTTTTGATATACATTTAGTTTCTTCGAGCCCTGATAAATTATTTCAGATGGCAGAATATGCATCTGTTTTTCCCTGGAGTCTTTCGCACATATCTCCGCGTAATTAATGTGGATTTTGACAGATGGAGAAAAAAAATGTCCTCGTAAGAGAGAAGGGTACATGCCACAATGTGTGAAGTGCAAGCATGGTGGGAGCTTCTTGTATTATTTGCTGCCCATGCCAGCTGGACTAGCCAGATTCTTACAGGTAGAAATTCAAGCACTAAATATGTGCAGAAATCATTGAAATTCAGTGCCCACCATAAATAGGCCGTGTTTTTGTTGTTACACTTGGAAATAAATGTGAAATGCTCTTAATGTCGTTCTAAAATTGTCTTTAGAAAAACTAAACCTGTCCTATACAGTGTGTCTCCATCCATGGTAACTTTCGTGAAATATCCAATGAAGTGCAATTTCCTTCAATGGTAATTGTGACTGGAGGTCATTTTTAATTTAAATGCTTAAATTGCCTTTTAGTCAGTGTGTGTGTGTGCGCGCGAGTCTGTGTCTGTGTGCTGTTGTTTGAAACCATGTTATTTCTGAATGTACCAGGGTCTGACTTAAATATTAGTGTAACTACATTATCACAGTTTCTTTGCCTGGTAGCAAACATGTACAAATGAGGATTACAACTCTTGAGAAGGCAACAGGTCATGGTTGGTAAGCTGCCCGGGGGGGTCACTGATATAGAGTCACTTTTGACAGGCTGTGGAGGAGGCTCTATTGTTGCTGGTGTGTCTGGATGTTACCTGCAGGCACTATCACTGAGACTACAGTATTATCCTATTATTAGGCTTAGTTGTTTACGCTTATTACTGCTTGTCAGGTAGGCAGAGAATCCTTCTGAAAATGAGCATCTGCAGAAAAATACATGACTACTTCTTTATCTCATTCAAGTACATCGGCTTAGGATAATTTTCAGAGGCCTATAAGAATGTCTTGATAGGACACAACAAACAGAAAATGTAAGGTTTATGTTTACATGGAGGCATTTGATTCTTCAAAAATGTTTTACCGCAGCGCCGTCAGTGTTATTTGGCAGTCGGTGTGAGAATGTAAGAAACGCTGCATCTGTTTTATATGTATTAAAGCTGATATCAGTATGGTCTTGTCTCAGTTGAAAGTACATATACAGTAAGAGGACATTGTGGATTGAAGCAGCCTTGATTAATGTCTCTGTTTGTAGAGGAAGTGAACAAAATAAAAAAAGCCCATCATATGGTCTGGCAGATTTTGGGCACCGGCCCAGGGATGACAAATGTGCTCTCGCAATAATTCAATCTGCTCTCATAATTCTCTAACTTTTAGGGACAGACAGAATGAAGATTTTCCGGCAATTAAGCCGCCAAGTCAATGTCCAATAACTGTGATCAAGTGTTAGTTAAGATGCTTTTTCTCTCACTTTATCCATTGACAGATTGAGGGGTATAAAGATACTTGGTAAGTGGCAGAAAGTTACTGTGAATATGTTAACGAGAGGATTTGGTATCAGATCCAAAACGTTGTCATTTTGTTGATGTCACAGTAATGATATTAAGTTTAAGGAATAAAAGGGAAGGGATGGAGCATGCTTGCTGTAAGAATAAGTTTGTGGTTATCACAGCTACAGTATATATTGTCATGTATGTTATTTTCTTTATAGGACATTTTCTTCATACTTTAACATTTTAGCCTTGACAGATGAATTAAGACTGTTATGATCATGTGTCGGGCTGATAAAAGGAAAACTCATCCATCTGGCTTTGTGAGCGTTCTGCACTACAGTTGACAACACAAGTGGCTACATGAAAAACAAGACACAAATTTTATGAATAGAATAAAATTCACACTGCACAAGGTAGAATGACTTAAAGCTAAGAAAGTAAAGTAAATCTGTTTTGAAGTATTTAAACTAAGTATTGTTAACTGCAGAGATCCCTGTCAAGCCTTGGGCAACGTCATGTACAAACAGCACATGTCTGCATTTAGAAAGCGAAAGGGATCAGGTACCGCTGCTGCTGAACTGCCTCTGGGCCAATCACAATGTGTGTGGTATTGTGGTAAATACACTTTGTCTGTGTTAAATGTAATAGCATATGAATCTCCTTCTGTTTGCAGAAAAAAATGTACGTCCTGGCGATGGTTGATCCGGATGCTCCGAGACGCACCCAACCAACATCTGCTTACTGGAGACACTGGTTGGTCGTGAACATACAGGTACAGTAAGTCTGCAATAACCTCTGCTCTCACTTAGGAGGGGAAAAAAAGTGTTTGGGTGATGGTGACACGGGGCAGTATTTGTTATTGGATTAGAAACTCATACGGTACAAATTTATGAAGTAGTGTTTGCTTGTTTTTTTTTTTTCTTGAAAATTGTGCATTTTCATAATCTCGGGGTCTCACTTGGCATGTCTTGTGTTTACATCTGCACTGGGGCCGATCGTAAGGCTGAAAAATTATGAATGGTTTTTAAGCCTAACTTGGTTAAAAAAAGGATGCCAAGTTCGAAAAATGTTAATTTTTCATATCATGTATCTTGTGCAATAAATGCCTGTGACAAAAGTGTGGGAGTAAGTCTTTCTAAATGGCTGTGAAAGTTTGCAAGGCCCTGTCAGCAGCAATTTCCCTCTGCTGCAGAGAGCCTGGGACGTGTCAATGCAGGCGTGTGAGACTGAGATTGAGGAGAGCAGCATGCGAGGCGCACACTCTTTCTCCCATAGAGCTCCAGTCCCTCAGCTCCCCCTTCAGTGGAGAGATCTTGGCAGAGTGTCCTCCCTTCATCTGTTCCCCCAGGCAGAGCAGCTCCCCCAATGATCCACACTTCTCCATATTTTACACCCCCGAAATGGGCACGGCTCCGATCCCCTTATTTCTCTTCATATTTCACTCCTTTTTATCCATTCGTTTGTGTGTTTTCACATTCTTGCATTCTAACGCCAAATGCATGTTGAGTTGTTGATTGCCTCAAATATTTTGAGGTTTGCAGACATTTTATAATCCCCCGGGAACCAGGAGATCAACCCAGTAGATTAAGACTAGTGGTCTGAAAAACAAGCACACAAAGACGCTTCCGCAATGTATCACCGCTCCTGTTTCGTTTCATAAGGCGTGGTGGTACACTAAGTAAAACGCCACATTGATTCCAAGATTCAAATGTGATGTGTTTGGATGGTGATATATATTTTAGTAAACCGACAATATGTATAAATTTAGCATTTTGTGATTCAGCTCGTTGGTGCTGCGCTTAAGAGATAATTTATGCAGTCACATTCCTGCTCGCTGTTAAGAATCTATGAATATTTACCTCATATCACTCACATACATCAATGATGTACAAAAAAGTAGTAATTTCCACTTTATAAAATTGCATTAAGCGTCACCTTTGCTTCTTATTTTTAAACCCATGAAGTCTATCTGGCTGCATGACCAGCTGTGAATAAACAAATGTCTTTCAAGTGCTCAGACAGACCACATTCTCTCTAGCAATTCAATTTCCTGTCACTTGTGTGGGTGTTGACCTGCGTTGCCCATGTAGGGATTGGCCAATGTGACGGGATGTTTTTCTGATTGAGACTGGTGGTTGGTCAGAAGGGTTAATGAGCCTTTTGAGTGATGCCAACTGTGGTGGGAGGTGTTTAATTGACCAGGGTGCCTAGGTGACATCACACAATCTCAGTTTTGTTTTTTCAAGTGTCGATGCGAATCTATTGGATTTTGTTTCGGTGCAGTGGTTTCGACAGCAGTGTAGGCCAGTTTATGAATGAATGCCCATCTGTAATTCAGCAAGGAGAAGGAAAAAAAAAAGGCAAAAGTATGAGTAACTCTGATTGAGAAATTATTGAGTTATTATCTGTAGTTTTGTTCCATCTGTATGTAAGGTAAAGAGTTCTGCACAGTAACGTGTTTGGCATTTAGTTAGCTATTTCTGGCAGTATGTTTGATAGTAGCCTGTTTTGTAAAGGAAAGTTTCTTTCGCTGAAGTCAGAGGTCATGCTTTCAAATGTCAAATGGATCAGTGTTTTGATCCTCACTCGTCAAATGCTGCAACAGCCATGTTCTTTTCATATATATTCATTAGTCCAAGGTCACGCAGTCTTGCCCTAGTTTGCAGATGTTTTCATAATTAGTGTGTATTCTTTATCCAGATCCGCAGTTACGAAGAAAAAAAGATTTCCTTAATTCAGCCAAGAGTGAAGTGAGGTCAACCTGGACTGAGCAGCAGGCACCGCAGATTTACGCCGATTGTTCAGCCAAAGTCTCATTAGTGAAGCAACGGTAATGCAACAAGGACACACAGCAGCACCCTGCGTGTTGTAGATGCGTCACTCACTTTGTTCTGAGCTGCATTATGTAGCGAGCTCTTCACTTATCAAACCATGTGCTGAGTACCTCCTCACTATGTGTCAGCTGTGCCAAAACCCTTTCGAAAGAGGCATTTGAGAACCGGATATTTGTTGCCACATACTGTCCCGTGCCTCTTGTGCTTACGGTATCATCCACAACTACAGTGTAGAGCTTATGAGAGTCAGAGTCTAGAGATTAGAAATGGCTCTTCAGAAAGGTTTAATGGCTTCCCAGAAAAGAAAAGACTTTGACCTTTGATGCTTTACATTTTACGTGTAGAGCTTCAGAGATAACACAGAGCATTTGGTTTGCATTTTTATGTTATGCGTAAGAAGTAATGATATTGTTTTTTTGTTTTTTTTAATTTTTAAAACATTTTTAAGGTGATTGGAAAATCTGAGTCACAGATGGATGTGATGCCTTAATATTGAATCAATTATACTGATTATCACACAAATCTTCAGATCAAGGATGAGACCTAAAAACTGCCCTCTGCTTGAGAAAATCTTCAGGATAACATGCATTGTTTTTTTTTTTTTACATTTTATTCTATCATTTGTTTATCATTAACTTAAAAGTACTATAATTAATTAATTTGTAATAAAGTACAAAAGTAGGTTAACCACACTGAAACATAAATTCTCTTCAGTCCAAATCCAGGATGAGCAGTTATTGCTACAAAGACAGTTGAATTACCATCAGCAGGCGTAGTTCAGCAGTATCAGTTCTCCTTTGCTGAATTTAGCTTCTGTCTTATTTATGTGGGATAACTAACCTACTGTACAAAAAAAAATAATAATAACTTACCCGCTAAATTACCAAAAATATGAGTTCATCTAAATTAATACAACAGCTACAGAAAAAAAGAAGAGCTTTGGCTACAGCTGAATTTAGTTCTCTTGCTTCAGCTGGGTTATTCAGTTTGTAGCTGTTCTTTTAAAACAGGTGTCAAAAAGTCAGACTGTCTTTACCTACACTTTAACTAAAAATGCAGTCCCTGCATTTTGGCTTCTTTGTCTTGTTTTGGTGTTTTATCAGCCCATCTGGGCAGGGCTCTTGTTTGTGCGTGACGGTAAATAACAAAACTAACTATATATTTGTACTTAACATCATCCAGGCATCAACACACATTTATAAACATGCAGGAAAACATACATATACAAGTCTAAGACAATCATTTTTATGTTTATGTCAGGTGTCAAATCTTTTATTTAACTGTGTATCACTTATCACATCATTACTTTTGACTGCCAAGAACAATTTATTCCAGCAATTAAGTGCAAACTGTGTGGCTGGGTGTCTTGTCTTCTCTCACCAGCTGTCCAGTTTCTTTTAGAACTCACATTATTAGATGCTGTATATGCATTTTCAGTGCAACTGCCCATTTTCATTGACCCCTCGAGCTACAGAAACAGTAATTTAGACTCTTCTGCAACACACGCTGTGTTTTTACATCAATTATGGACAATTACCAAAATAACCATCAACAGATTGTTGTCTTGCTCTCGAAGTCGAATTCCAGATTGCGAGCCTCTCCCTCCCTCTCTCTGCTCTCCCAGAGTCTAAATCAATACAGATGTTCCGGTATGGTCTTGCAGCAATAATTACTGTAACAAGCAAATCATTAGTATCTGAATAGAGTCAGCTTATATAAATACAGCACTGGGTGTTACTTTTACTTGTTAATACTTATTCTCTCATTATAGTTTTGGTACTTTGTGAGTCAATATGATGCAATATAAACTTGCAAAGCAGTTCTACAGTTAATGCTCTTTCCTACTCTGAGAAAAGCCAAGGTGTTCGCTGCTGTAAAATCCCATTTAAACAGACATGTATAGCCTTAGGTTTTGATGGATGTGATAATGGAATAATGTATGAAGTTTCTCCCCTGATGATTTGTCACCAGCAAAGGTGTTAGTTGTCTAAAATAACTAACTTTTTCTCTGTTAATGTGCAAAAGTAATATAAAGACAATTATCAGATTTTCTGGCCTGTAATTTTTTTTTTGTACAATGAGTCCTTGAAAAGTCGTGCAGTTTTTTTTACTGTTTACATCTTCTTCAAGTCAGAGCATTAAGACTGTCTCTCTTTGTTATTTTAGTTTATTTTTTTAATGAACAGACTTGCAGCTTTTTCTTCAAGCTAAGATATATTTTAAACAAGACAAAAGATGTATGACCCATCACAACCTGGTCAGGCTTTCACCCTTTGTCCTATTCAGCCAGTATAGATTCACTTGAATAACGTCTGTGGATTGGAAGCCATCACATGTTTGTTAACTTCCTCTCCCTGACTAATTTAGGGCCAGTTGGACAGTCCAGCACACTCATTATTATGGTGCATGAGGGATATGCGTGCTTTAACATCTAACTCTGTTGTAGCAGCTCCCAAAGGGGGACCGAGCCTGTGTTCTGCTGCTGCTCAGGCAAATACAAACAGTGAAGTATTGTGACTGTATCAGACCAGCTGGCTTTGTGTTTGTGAATTCTGTGGCCTGCAGAGATCATCTGCTCCACACCTCAAGATGTCCTTTAACTGCAAACTATTAGACGTGTAATGCCTTGCAGGATTTCATTCAGTGTTTGGCTCTTAAAAGATAGTGCTTTTGTTATTTTGTCTCTTTTTTTTTGTTATATACTGCTCACCTTAATGGGCCCAAACACAAAAGACACAGGGATTTTAGGTTGAGAAGTGTTCTGTGGCTGATTACAAAGAAGAAATGACGATACTTGTTTACTAGTACAATAAATTACCTCAGTTTAAGTCTGTTCAGGAGGTTTAAAAAGAGTAAAAAGATAAAGATAACAACCAGCTACCCTTGAAAAGTGCATCCAGAATAGTCCTTCAGTCAAGTATAACACATCCTCTCTCTG